CCAAACATAACCCTCTTCCCTTTAATGTTTCTTCCTGATTCTCCAAACTAACAAGTCAAACTCTGGTTACGCTTCAAGATTTCCTACAACCCCACTTCAAAAAACCAAGTCATCCTGTTTAAAGCTAAACAACTTTTAATCACCCACTCACAAGTGCAGAGCTGTGTTTACAGCCTTTGACATCAGGTCACTGAGTGAGTTTCCTTAATCAAACAAGTTTATGTCTGTTGTGGCAAGGCATGGGCGTTTGAAAGTGTATTCGTAATCAACTTCAGTGATCAAAGACTTGAAGGACCCACACAAGTTGTGTTAGCTGAGCCATTTGTGTCCTGTTTTAAAAATTCAAAGGCCAGCACTGCAGGAAAAGGTCCCAGAGAAACACCTTGTTAGTCTTGGGCTGGAAGTGGGAGCTTTGTACTTAGGTAGAGCTTAGAGTAATTGGCAGCAGAAGGCAGAGAGTACATAAAATACTCCAGAGAGATAATTGAGCAAAAAGGTGAACATGACCACAGTGTGGGCTACTGTAAAACAACAAGAATACACAGTCAGGCTTTCACAGATAGAGCAGCTGCTCTTCTGCTAAGACACATCCAAGTGTTGAAGTCCCATCAGTATTCATTTGCAGCACCGCCGACTGCACATTTAAATTCCATAACCAACCTCATCTGATCCCAGTTTGTTATAGTACAGAGAAGATCTTCTCAACAAAAGAGTCAGATTCAGTATGCCCTCTGCTTCCTATTTTCTTCCTTCACAGCAAATGAGGTGAAGCTAGTCAGGTTTTGTTAGCAGTATGGTGCTACAAAAGCCACTCAATATTGGCTTTTAGTTCAATTCTTATATTGATGTTTGGGCTTTTTTGGGACATTTGCTTCAGAAATCTGATAAGGTTCAAGCATCAAAACCTGGTTTTTAAAGTTACATAGACCAGTTTGGATGGAAATATCTCATATTGAAGAATCACTTTAAAAAAAATTGAAAGGAGTGTCATTAACCTAAATCACTGCTGCTTCCAGACTATTTACCTTTAAAGCACTAACTGTATCATATCTGAAATGCTATTTCAAAAGTTGCTTGATCAAATCCTTGACAGCACTGGTTCTCTAACTCTTTACTCAAAGTATGACCTCAGAACATGCTAGCTTCTCTGAATAACACCATTATAAATAACATAACTTTTGATTGTTTCATAGACTCAGGTATGATAAAAGATAATTGTTCTGTCAATTAGTGATCTTGGCTTCCTGAACTGTTTTACGGCCTGGCTCGTAGGTCTGCAACATAAAAAGGAGACTGAACACATGTTGGGAGTGGAAGAGCAAGAGCAAAAATGGCCAACAACCAGAAGCTCCCAAGGTGATCTCTGCAGTGAGCTCAAGAGAGAGCTCATAAACTCCTTCAATGGTTCAGTGTATCCTGGACGAGCCCCCATTCATGTAATGACCCAGCTCGTGGGACTGCAACATAATATGAAGACTGAACACATGTTAGAATTATATTTATTAAGAGCAGCCATTCAAAAATCTCCATCAAAATGGCAAAAAGACCTGGAAACTACACCTAGCACCTACAGTCTTTGGGGTGACGGTGACACAGGAGTTAAGTGCTCACCCCATAACTGGAAGGTTGCAAGTTTGAGCCCCGCTCAGTATGTCGCTGTCGTTGTGTCCTTGGGCAAGACACTTAACCCACCTTGCCTGCTGCTGGTGTTCGGAGGGACCGGTGGAACCTGTGTACGGCAGACTCGCCTCTGTCAGTGTGCCCCAGGGCAGCTGTGGCTACAATTTAGCTCATCACCACCAGAGTGTGAATGTATGTGTGAATGGGTGAATAACTGCTTTTGTTGTAAAGCAACTTGGGGGTGGTGGTGGTGGTGGTGGTGGGGGGGGGGGGGGTGGAGGGGGGGGGTTCAAGGACTCTAGAAGGCGCTTTATCAAATACAGGCCATATACCATTTTTACCTATTCCAGCTGCGACTGAGCGTGATTTCAGAGTGTGTAGTAGATGGCTGAAGAGACCTACAAATCATGAAGGTATAATGGGCTAGTGAATGGAGTGGAGTTGGGTTTTAGTCCTGATGAGGTCCTGCTCCTGTCTGTTAACATTGTGCAACAGATAGATTTTATTTAAAGAGCATAACAATGGAGGATGTAACTCGTACATCCTGAATTCAACAGCTCCTGTTGACCGAAAACGGTACACATGCTAATTGTTGAGACAGGTGATTTGTGTACAGCTACAACCCTAAAGTCTGTAGTTTGATGCACAGACGAATAATTAATAATTACTTAATGCAGATAAAAACGTTTTGCATGTTGAAGATTTACGTTAGGCCCGGCTACTTGGGCTCAAGCCCTGGATGTTTTATGAAAAGCCCCGGATCTAAAACGTGGAAGTAACATGCAGTACCAAAGTCCAACAGAGAGGGAGCAGCTGGCAGTAGTTTGTACACAGCCTGCCTGAGCTTCCACCACTGAAGAAGAAGCCCTTCAGCAGCTGGCTTCTTCTGCAGTCTCTGCCTGAAACGCATGAGTGAAGATGGACATAAGGACGTTTTTTAGAAAAAAAGTACAACGACAGAACTCCAGCTTTGATGAGACTGGTGTTGGATCAGGTTTGTGAGTCTTATTTGAAAATATTTGTTGTGCTGCTGGTTTGCCTAAAGTTAGCTTACTATCAGGTAAAGTTGTTGGAGAAAGAAAGGGAATATTTACTATCATCTCACACTAAACACTAACAGGAACAATACTCTGCCCTGAATATGCTTAATATGTAGCTTCAGTTTAAAAATTATGTGGTACAAGACAAATATATATGATGTTGACTAGTGCGTGTCACGTGTGTGTGTGTGCGCGCGTGCGTGTGTGTCTGTGTGTGCGCGTGCATGTGTTAAGCCCCGGATCTTCTTCAGTCCTAAATCCGCCCCTGCTGCTACATAAAGCAGACACTAAGTGATCTCTTCCTGTTTGCTAACAGCTACCATCGCTATCAAATGAAATACTCCAATTCACTCACATTTTACTCTGTCTCCAAAAAACTTTTTCCATTGTGCCTACCTTTTCAATGGGTTCCTGAGCCAGGATCGTATTATACACATAACTTTTGTGTCTCCTTGAGCAGAAATCCAGTTTTTTTCCCCAATAGAGCCATCTAGAGGCAAAAAAATGTATAACACCACAAGTCCCTTGTATTAACTTCCTTGTTTACAGCTAGAACAAAAGTCTTTTGCTTGTGAACGCGTACCTCTTGCTGGCCAACAGAATCAAACCATATTATTTCACACACACATCCATTATCGTCTGCATATTTGAGGTTGGTTCGCGAGGGCAGTAGTCTAAGCAGAGAGGTCCCTCTCGCCAGCCACAAGGTGTTCCTTGGCCAGATGAGAACCATAGTCGCTCCAGCATGTCCTGTGTCTTCTTTTAGGTTTCCTCATGGTTGGATGTACCTAGAGGAAGTGTGCAGTAGGATTCCAGACACAAACAGATGCTTGAGCCACCTCAACTGGCTCCTCTTCATGTGGAGGAGCAGCAGATCTACTCTGAGCCCGTCCCGGGTGACCGAGCTTCTTACCTGATCTCTAAGAGAGACCCCAGACACTCTGTGGACAACGCTCATTTTGGCCGTTTGTCTGTTGTGTATCTCGCAATCGTGTCCTTTTCACAAAAGATTATGCAATGGTGGCATTAAGGGGGTATGGGGGCGGTCTCTGCACTGCCACAGACTTCCATTTATCTTGGATATTTTCAACAAGTCTCTCCTAAAGGTGTCTGTCCTCCACAGTCCCTGTAGTCTCTGGTGAACTGACCTCCAGCTGCAATGGAGAAAAGATCCACGAGCGAGTTTTTATTTTTATTTTCTACATGGTTGCCGGCCAGAGCTCGGCATTAACTCCCCACATGATCATGACACCCCACTCTGTTGCACCAAGGCACAATCGCTGTTTATAGAACACACAATTACTGCAATATTACTACCAAGCAAGGTGGAACGAATACTACAAAATTCACGAATCGCCATGACACACCATTGCGTTAATATTACGCTGATTTACAGGCACGGTGTGTTTTGTAAAAGGGGCTAAAGAAGAACTTGAGAAAGCCTGGAGAGTGAAGGCACTGGTGATGCCCGTGGTCATCCGGGCACTCTGAGCAGTGACTCCCAAACCAGAGGAGTGGCTAAAGCAGATCCCAGGAAAAACATTAGAGTCTAGAAAAGTGCGGTCCTAGTAACAGGAGATATAGATGTGCATAAGTCTAGGTACATTCTCGAATGTTAGCGCACCATCTGTGGTTGGCATCTGTAGAAGTTTAATGCTATTGGCTAAAGATGACCGGCGCGCAACGGAAATTGCATTGAGTTCCACGAGACGGGCAGCGGGCTTAGCAAAACGTATTGCCTACATTATGTCACGTACAGGGTAACTTTTAGGGTCACTTTTACAGATTTCTTAAAAAATCATACATAATTCCCGAAAGAGGGAAAACTCCAGTATGCCACTTAAAAGATCGTTCCCCTAAAATCTTCTGTGCACCACTAGAGGGTGCTCTCTTACCAACACAGTTTACGAATGACTGCCATTCAGGGTTTTGGTCCTCCAGTGGAGGATCTAAATGCTACAACCAACAAGAGACACTTTTATTATTCTATTCATTTAATAAAGCTAATTTTAATTTTATTGTGATCAAATACATAAGAAGAAGAAGAAAATATCAGTTCTATAGCGCCTCTCAAGATAATAATCATGAGGCGCTTAATAATCTAATGAAAAAAATTATTCTGCCTTTTTTCACACATCCAGCGTTAAAGGAGTGTAGTGAAACTTTCTGAAACATCAAATGTAAACTAAAATATATTACAAAATATGAAACAAAAATGTTATAAAATCATTGATTCGAATTGTTTTTGTTTTAGCTGCAATTCCTTGACAAATAGAACACCACTGCTCACGAAACAAGTTGTGTTAAAAACTAATTAAACAAATTACATTTCAATTGGCCCCTTTTTTCACTTTCTTTTTTTATTAGTTTTTCCACTTGTGGACACAACAGTGTTAGCGTACACAGAACATTACTGTACAACATAGAACAACCATAGTCTGAAGAAGTATTGACACAATCCATCAAGTTGGCTAAAAATTTTGTTTACTTCATGCTTATTTTAAATGATCAACCCGTCTTGCCAAATAAATAAATAAATAAAAACTGTTATTTTCCATGAAATGCTGGAATAGTGACTGTTCTGTTTTAGCCTTCCAGCTAATGTCTAATCTATAACCAAAAACCAATATTTTTGCAAGGATATTTTTATTTTATACAACCCTTTCAGATTTAATGGAAACTTCAATTCAGCAAGTACCAAAAGATAAAAGTCAATATGGAGAGATTCTGGCATTACAACTGTAGCAACATGCTAGCTCACCACCAGTGTGTGAACTACATGAACACTTCCAGGGGAGCTCAGTGAGATTGGTGTGTGTGTGTCTGTTTTGCCCTGGCCCCCAAAATGCCTTGTAACGGCCCTGGGTGTGGGACTGAGTTTTGAACGTGATCAGAATTTTATCAAATACATAAATATTACATGCTTATAAATTATTGATTTATAAAGATAAACATCTGTAGTGGGATAAATCTACCTACATTTTCTTCTCAAGCACTGTTTTTTTTTTTTTTTTTTTTTTTTTTTTGACTTTTTCTGTCCTGGCTTTCTCTGATCTTCCTGCATCTCCCCTAAATACTCCAGAAAAACAGCTTCCTGACTTCCTGCTTTTTCACTTCATGAGTTACCTTTGAACTAAAAAGATCAAAGGGATTGACTGGAGCACGGGTGAAGGGCTCCACAGCATCAGGCACCAATAAAAGACGGAAAGTACCAAAGAATATGAGTAGACATGAACAATGGTGTGATAATTACATTTTTGTAATGAATTATATTTCTCCCCTCCAAAGAATTCCCGGTATGCTGAGAGTCCAAACCACTAAAGTAATGTAGGTAGAAACTGGATCTGTTTTCGGTCTCCCCATGGGTGTGTAAGTTGGGGGAGTCTAGGGGAGCCTGTTAGCCTAGTGAACTAGACCAAATTCTTGCTTTGCAAAGTTTTAAATAATACATTTATTTAGTCTGACTTGCCAGGCTAGGAGCCTGTCACTCTTTCAGGGGGGGGGCTGGGCTCCCCTTAGCTCCCCCGTACTTTGAACCCTGCTCACCACACAGCTTTGATGCCTGCTTGAAACAAATTATTCAGGGAAATCAGACCCAAACTAACTTTCCCTTCATTTTCATTAGTTTCTGTTCGCGGTGAAGGTGTTAACACATCTTGGATAGATTTTTTCTTATGGGTGTGTATAAAGTCACCTGTTGATGTGATACAATTAGACAGAAGCAGCTACAAACTGGCTGAGTTACACAATTGATTGGAAACGCCCAGTTTTAAAGGGCAATAGTGTGGTTGTCTTGTGTTTGAACTGCTGGTATTCCACAGCTTCCAAAAAAAATAGAAACACCTCATTTATTGTGCCATTAAAAGCCTAACATTTGTAAGGTAGCTGCCATGTTTTTCTTTAAAGTCAATTATTGGGTCTTGAGTACATTTTTGCCATCAGTAAAGCAGCAAAAAACAAACCCTTTCTTTTAATGTGAACCTCTTTATGAATTTTGCGTATTTGTATTATTCTGTTAAGAAACTGACAATTCCTTTTGTTTCTCTGCTCCTCATATTTGGCTCTAATTAATAAAAAAAATCTAGCTGTGGTCATTTTCACTGGAACATCTATAAAACCAAATAATCATCAAGACAAAACAAATACATGTTGGAGATAAAAACAGCATTCGTTATAATAGTAATGAAACAGCAGCAAATACATGGTGGTGGACTATTAAAATAACAAAAGCAGACAAAGAAAAGCTATAAAATACTCTTCTGCCTTACTTTTTCACCAACATATTTTTGACTGGCACCTTCACAACATAACGGCGAGGCCTTCAGATGTATAACAGTTCTTTTTTTTACTATAACATTGATTCTAGCAAGTGAATTGAGACAAATGAAGCTACAAAAAGGGCACAGGCACTTGATGTTCTCTTCAGAATGCGACAAAGTGGTTGCTGTCAATAAAAATAGAGGTTAAAGAATGTCACTACACTTAAAGTGCGGTCTATCCGCCTTAGTTTCTGCAACCATGCACACAGAATTTGAGCAAGACCTTTCAGGAAGGCCTCTAAATAAGGGCATGGCTATTACTCAGCTCATGACTCACGTTAGGATGAGGAGTGATAAACAGAAGATTAAATACAAAAACAGATGGTGCATACAGTGACAGCCACTGATGCGACCACCTGACTCTCCTTGAGGCTCAGCAGACACCAGTAGTGCTGACGGTGGTATAGCCGAACTTAGACATTGATGCAGCCATGGAGGTGGCATTGGTGCCATCGTCATTCTCCCTCCTCCTGCACCTGTGGAAGGGGCCTTTGCGGCAGCAGCAGCGGTAGAAGGTGCTTCTCAGGGCCCCTCGGAAACGAGTGTTCATGAAGCAGTAGATAATGGGGTTGACGCAGGCTGAGGTGTAGGTCAGCAGGTGGATGAAGGAGATGGGAGCTCCAGAGAGGGCTTTGGTGGCAGATTGGCTGTCAAAGGCCTTCCAGGTGTTGACTGAGTACAAGGGCATCCAACAGACGAAGAAGAGCACTACTATCACCATGAGCATGCGGACGACTCGCCTCTTGGCTTCGAGGTTAACGTCTGACTTGTTACTACATGCATGGCCAGACTTGAGGTGGCTGTTGCTACATGAGGCAGAGAGGGTGGGAAGCTCCATAGAAGAGGTCTTTTTTTTTACCTGGACGTAGCAGCCATCGTCATCATCCACACCCTCTGCAGGCCTCCCTACACCATTCCTCTGCCCTGTGAAGGGTCAGAGTTACACGTTAAGCTCAGGAGAACTTTGTCAGACAAAAAAAAAAGCTGCAAATTAAGCTGCTTAATGCCATACCCGGTAATTCATTTACAAGCCATTAAGTGTTAGGAAGTCTAAGTTCCGAGGGCAGAGCCTTGTGGAACACCTAAAAGCATTTATTTATCTCACATTTCCCATCTCAGTCTTTCTTTATTAGGCTATTCTTAAGCAGGTGGTTGTATGTTGTTCAACCACCAAATACATTCTATTCAATGTGACTTAGCAGTGTCAGTGATTTTATGGAGCGAAAATGCAAATCTTGATGGTTGAGAGGGTAATAAAGTGACATCTAAAGGTTCCGTGCCCAACCTCTTAGTCTGCTTCGGAGCTTCTTATGTCCTTTTAGCCGTTTCTCTTGGTAATTTTGCTTCCTCTTACTAGTGTGCCAACTCTATTACCTTCCAATTTCCATGCAGGATGTGAATCGTAAATCATTCAATAAAATTCCATAAGTACCAGAATGCAGACAGAGGATGCTTTCAGGGCATTTACTAGCTTCTCAATACCATAGTCTCTCCTATCTTCCAGATGTGAAAGTGGCGTGTATTGTAATAGAGGCGTAATAAGGGCCTTCCACACTGCTGGTCCCACAAAGTCACTAAATCACAGGAAAATTGCAACACCACGAGTGATTGGGGGTAGCAGATAAACCGCGTTGTCAGTAATTTAAGATTGCAGGTTCAACCCTGGCTCCCAACAGAAAAATCTGCTGCTGTGTCCTTGAAGAAGACACTTCACCCTCCCTGCCCGCTGGTGGTGTTTGGACGTACTGGTGGTGCCTGTGCTTGGAAGCCTTACTACAGTCAACGCGCCTCGGGGCGGCTGTGGCTACGTTGTAGCTCATCACCACCATTGTGTAAATGTGTGTGTGAATGGATGAATGATATGCTGAAGTGTAAAGTGCTTTGGAATCCTCTGACTCTGAAAGGTTCTATACAATTGTGAGTAATTATCATCATTTATCATTTCAACACAATACCAAGTTAAAAATGACAGCTGCATGTATACAGAAAGGCCGGTGGTTTCTTTTCTGTTCTGTTTTCTTCGCCTACAGTTTTTTTTAACAGGAAATGACATACATTTATCTACACATGACTTTATTTTTGAAAGTTTCCGAATGTTTCACACTGCTTTTGTGTTTGACTTCCTGCCTGGCCCGATCTAAACTGCAGAATTTGATGTGTTTTGGAAGCGTGGTGCGTAAAAACAGGCTCAATGTCATGAACAGAACTAGGAAGACCCGTGAAGACGCCAAACACAATGAGAGTAAAATAAAAAGTCTTTATTAGGATGCAGATTTACCACAGTCGGGTGAGGCTGGAGACAGAGTCGGAGACAGGCGAAGGTCGAAATGGCAGGCAGAATACAAGGCAGGGGTCAGGCGAAGAACGAGGTCCGGAGGCAGAGATCAGGCAGGGTGGATGGCTGGAGAATTTACTGGCAAATGTTTTCAACAATCTGGCAGAGACTGGGTAGCTGAATGGATCTTTTATAGCAGGGGAAGCAGGTGTGTGAGATGAGCTGAGGAGTCAGGAGCAGGTGAAGTGGATGAAGCTGAAGACAGGAACAGGTGAGAAGAATGGAGTTGATTGTGGTTGCCAGGGGAAACAGGGCTTGTCAGGAGCTTGGTGAAGGGACCAGGTGAGCTGAATGAAAGTTAAATGAGGAGGGTGAAGGATGGGAGTCATGACAGACCTCCCCCCCCCCCACCCCACCCCTAAGGGCGGATTCAAGACGCCCACAGGAAACCAGAGCAGGGCGGGAGGAGGGGGACCAGGAGGGAGGGCCAGGGCAGGGCGGGAGGAGGGGGACCAGGAAGGAGGGCCAGAAGAGTCTGGGGGGCCTGCGACGGGGAACCAGGAGCCGGGACAGCGGGAATCTGGGGGGCCGGCGACGGGGAACCAGGAGCCGGGACTGCGGGAGTCTGCGGATAGAGGACACTCGAGGACAAGGACTAAGAGGGGACTCTGGACTAAGACTAAGAGGGGACACTGGACTACTAGGGGACTCTGGAGACTGAGGGGACACTGGACTACGAGGGGACTCTGGAGACTGAGGGGACAGAGGGGACACTGGACTACGACTAAGAGGGGACACTGGAAACTGAGGGGACAGAAGGGACACTGGACTACGACTAAGAGGGGACACTGGAGACTGAGGGGACAGAGGGAACTCTGGACTACGACTACGAGGGGACTCTGGAGACTGAGGGGACAGGGGGAACTCTGCACTACGACTTCGAGGGGACTCTGGAGACTGAGGGGACAGGGGGAACTCTGGACTACGACTACGAGGGGACTCTGGAGACTGAGGGGACAGAGGGAACTCTGGACTATGACTACGAGGGGACTCTGGAGACTGAGGGGACAGAGGGAACTCTGGACTACGACTACGAGGGGACTCTGGAGACTGGGACGTAGACTCGGACTGGGGGAGACAGGAACTCGGGAGAGTGGGACATAGACTCTGGGACTGGGGGAGACGGGAACTCTGGAGACAGGAACTCTGGAGACAGGAACTCTGGAGACAGGGACGTAGACTTTGGGACTGGGGGAGACGGGAACTCTGGAGACAGGGACGTAGACTCTGGGACTGGGGACGAAGACTCTTGAACAGGCTGGACTGGAGCCTCGTGGATGGGCTGGACCAGAACCTCGTGGACGGGCTGGACCGGATGCGGTGCATCCTCTGGGATCACCGCCAGCGCAGGATGCAATGCGTCCTCCGGGATCACCGCCGGAGCAGGATGCGGTGCATCCTCCGGGACCACCGCCGGAGCAGGATGCGGTGCGTCCTCCGGGACCACCGATGGAGCAGGATGCGATGCGTCCTCCGGGACCACCGCCGGAGCAGGATACGATGCGTCCTCCGGGACCACCGCCAGAGCAGGATGCGATGCGCCCTCCGGGACCACCGCCAAAGCAGGATGCGGTGGGACCTCCGGGACCACCGCTGGGACAGGATGCGGTGCGACCTTCGGGACCACCGCTGGGACAGGATGCAAAGCGACCCTCGGGACCACCGCTGGAGCAGGACGGATGGAGCCTCTCGGACAGACGGAAGTGGGACCCCTGCTGGACATGGATGTGGTGCGGACCCTGGAACCACAGCTGGACATGGATGCGATGCCACCCCGGGAACTACCGCTGGACCTGGAGAGGCAGAGCCTCTCAGACAGACAAAGGTGGAATCTCTGCTGGACGAGGATGTGGTGCAGCCTCTGGGACCACCGCTGGATGTGGATGCGATGCGCCCCCTGGGACCACCGCTGGACGTGGCTGCGATGCCACCCCTGGAACCACCGCTGGACTGGGGCAGGCGGAGCTTCTTCAAAAGGCGGAAGTAGGAACCCCACTGAGCGTAGATGCGGTGAGATTCCTGGGACCACCGTTGGACGTGGACGCGGTGTGTCTCCTGGGACCACCGCTGGACGTGCATGTGGTTCACCTCCTGGGACCACCGCGGGACATGGACGCGGTGCGCCTCCTGGGACCACCGCTGGACGTGGACGCGGTGCGCCTCCTGGGACCACCGCTGGACGTGGACGGGGCGGAGGAACTTGAAGCTTGAGCGGTGTAGCTGCAAAACCTTGCGTCTGTGAAGGCCATGAACTAGTAGAAGGTCTCCGGGACTGCCACTGTTGCATTGTCAGAAACCTGCTGCGCAAGACGGCCGCAGCAGCCCAGGACGAAGGAGTGGAACCTCTGCGTGGCAGTGGCCTGATGGCCAGCCGCGTTTCTCAGAACGGTGACTCCTGCTCCTTCTCTAGTTCCATGAATTCCAGGAGCGTGAGATATTCCATGACAGGTATGAAGAAGAAAAAATACTCCCAAGGACTGTGTCGGTGTCGGGTGAGACTTTTGGCCAGATTATTCAGTCACGACCAGAACTAGGAAGACCCGTGAAGACGCCAAACACAATGAGAGTAAAATAAAAAGTCTTTATTAGGATGCAGATTTACCACAGTCGGGTGAGGCTGGAGACAGAGTCGGAGACAGGCGAAGGTCGAAATGGCAGGCAGAATACAAGGCAGGGGTCAGGCGAAGAACGAGGTCCGGAGGCAGAGATCAGGCAGGGTGGATGGCTGGAGAATTTACTGGCAAATGTTTTCAACAATCTGGCAGAGACTGGGTAGCTGAATGGATCTTTTATAGCAGGGGAAGCAGGTGTGTGAGATGAGCTGAGGAGTCAGGAGCAGGTGAAGTGGATGAAGCCGATGACAGGAACAGGTGAGAAGAATGGAGTTGATTGTGGTTGCCAGGGGAAACAGGGCTTGTCAGGAGCTTGGTGAAGGGACCAGGTGAGCTGAATGAAAGTTAAATGAGGAGGCAGAGGAGGGTGAAGGATGGGAGTCATGACACTCAAAATGTAATGATCGCATGTGTCCCTATGCTTCTGGGACACGTCCAAAATGTTACACTTTGCTACCGGTGGAAAGGAACCCACTTTAACAGCAAATAATTGCACCAAAATACGTTTTGCGATGCTTTCACGTCCGGTGGTCCAGTTGAAAGAATTCAAATAGTTCCTGAAAGAGGAGAATAAGGTCCAGCTCACCCAGTTCATCACTTGTTTGACCTGTTGCCCTCTGGCAGGTGCTACAGGTCTATTAGATCAAAGACAAAGCAATCGCCACCCTGATTGTACATATCCTCTAAAAACCTTAAGTAACGTCTGTCAAGAAAGACCGATTAATTAGTACATCCATCACTCTAAATACAATAACCTACATGTGATTGTTTTACTTTTGATGCCAGGAGTGTTTTACTTTTATTTATCCAAAGTTTTATGTTTTTTTCTTTACTCATTTCATGTATAAATTAGAAAAAGCACCTTGAAGTAGCCCTTGTGATTGCGTTGGGTCTACAGCCTGTTTTGTACAATGACCATGAAGCTTTCTAATTCTAACGCTGATGGAGTTTGTGTAGAAAATAATCAGTAACATAAAGGACTAAAGCATTCAGACGTTGGGCACTGGTTATTTTTCATAACGTTAGTGAATATCATGTTGGACTAGACTCAACTGAGATCTCTATAAACCCAAAAAGCAGCCAGAATTCACCGAATAGGACCATATTTTATTGTTATCAGAGATTATCGTCTGCTAAGATCCATCAGCTCTAATAAAGGATACTTGGTGAGTGGAAAAGAGAAAGGCAGTGTAATTTTAGTGTCACGGGTGCAGAACCTGTAAGTGTTCAAAAACATGTCAGTTCCTGCTTGGGGCAAAATAAACAAACATCCCTTTTGTGTTTTTGCCCTTTAGGAAGTGAGTTACATGGATAAATCCTAATTTATTTGTTTATAATGTCATTTCCTGCAGCAGAAAGGTCATTAGTATATTTTCATCAAATACATTTCTTCCATTAACATGACATTATTTATGTTTCATATCTCACCTGTGGTGTCTTTGTTCTGGCTCAGCTCAAACTGCATGCCTCGGTAGAGCTCTCTGGAAATCAGACCATAAGCCATGCTCATCACCAGACCTGGGATGAAGAACAAGGCGAACAGCACCAGAACGTACCTGCGGAGGGGGGTGGAAAAAAGCAAAAAGAGTGAGGGACTGACCAACAATCCCGCCTGAATGCTGAAGAAGTTGCTTGAGAGTCTTTGCTGTCTGCATTTCTCGCCTCCATCTTTTATTAAAATGTTTATTTACCACTCATGGTGTTCTTGCATGCATCAGCATACTCTACATTCGGCTGCAGCTTTTGGAGATAAGTCTTATAAACCAGAACGAGTTTTTTTCAGCCTGATTTTTCTACGGCACTCAGCAATCAGGGACTTATTCAGCCCTTTTCTCCTCATTACAATTTTCATTAGGAAGTAGTACAATAGTACAATGCTAAACAACCAACAACAAACTTCCTGTTTCTTCCCCCGTGTCCACCAGTCAGTCCATCCCTCTCTAGTCGGCGAGTAGTCTTTTAACTCATTCACTGCCAGCCGTTTCCTGATCGGTAAAGCCCTTCGCTGCCAGCATTTCTCGCCGTTCTTACTGTTTTTTTTAAGAGTCACAGAACGTTGCAGGCTAGGATGATGTCGACGCCATAACAACCAAAACAAAGCGGAGACTCACCTCTAACGTCAGGAAGAATCTGTGTGCTTCGAGCGTTATCCTTTCTTTCATAATCCGTTGTCGAATTGTGATCGGCAGACGCTTTTCCCGTTCGTGCCTCATTTTTTTTACAGGAATGGCCCAAAACAATCTTCTAAAACATGGATTGTCTGCTTCCTGATCATGTGACGTACGCGGATGAAGATCGGCTTCAGAGCTGATATGTTTGTTCTCTCGGCGCGGGGGCTCGTTCCGATGCCCACACAGTAAAAAAAAATGCAAATGACGACTTTAGTCGTCAATGGCAGTGAATGAGTTAAGCCGGGCGTACACTGTGCGACTTTTTCACTTTTTTGAGCCGATTTTCCACTCGTGCGAGAATCCACGAGATCGGGGCGAGTTTTGCGCCGAGCGGTCGTGTAGTGTACAGGGGGTTACGAGAGGCGATTAACACCACGTGACCAGCTGCCGATCGGCAGTCGTGAGGTCGCACGGACTTCTGGCGTGTTTAATATTTTGCTCGTCCCTCGTGAGGGTATTGCACTGTTGAAGCGGCGCTGCGAGCGGCTGCAACCCAAAAAGCATCAGAACCGCTCACGGCACATGCGCAATCATGCATCAACGCCGCTCGCTCGCTATTTCCCTAATAACACACGTTGTTCGTTTTAATTTCTACACGTTTTTTTACTCACAAAGATTGTCAAGAAAGCGTATTTGTCGTGTTCATGTCAAATTAAACTGATCACAAAACACAGATTTACTTTATTTCGTTTTCCTCATCCAACCCCCATAAATCCCTGTGTGTCCTCCTGCAGCACTCCCGAAGGACAACAGGCAAAACAAGACAAAAAAGTCTGACGTGTTGTGTAAAAACTGCTATTTTTAGCATATTTTTAGGGCCGACGTGTTGCTACCAGACGTACAGTGTGAGCAGTCAGGTCGCATCCGAGAACTGGGTCGTACAGTGTGAGCACACGACTCGTGAGATCTGCTCTGCGAGGAAGTCGTACAGTTTGAGCTGAAGCTGAACGCTGCGAGTGAAAAAGTCGCACAGTGTACGCCCGGCTTTAAGGTATCAAGTCCATCCAAGGTACGATAGTATCTGAAGTAGCATTGTTGATCCTTGCTGATAATAGTTCCATATACACAATGTCCGTATAAACTCTCAGCTAGTGTACAAAAGGCATTTTTCATCTTTGGGTTATGATTTTCTTCACTGCCAGCAATCCTGCAAGCCAGATTCGGGTTTTCTCCGTATGTGAGTCATTTAATAAGTAACAATGGGATCCAAAGGGAGAGGCACGTCACTTAAATCAGTAATACAACAAAGTACTTTAACTCAGAGGTCCTGGACCCCAGTAATGTGCCCTGAGTTCCAGGGGAACATCTGATCCAGCACCTCTAGGCTACATGACAAAATTTTATATGTATTGAAGGTTAGGGTTTTAGAAGTCTTCTAGACATTATGAAATTAAATACCTGTGGCAGACTGTGCGTCTTTCATCAATCACAGTTTCAGCAGAAAATTGAGAAAAATATTCTCTAGGTTTACTTAAATCACCATATTTAGTTTGTTGATTTCCAAGTTGGTACCTTCCTCAAAACCTACAATATTCAGTCCCTAAAGATGCTCTTTAGTAGAGGATGGAAGAAAGCAGCAAGTGCCAGTTTTCTAACATATAGTATTACTTAATTATTATATAATCTCATCATGAAACAGAATTTGTATTACTGTAGAGAAAGTAAAAAGTTTTTTTGTACCTTTTTCTAACCAGGATTGTCCTTTATTTATTTTAAGGTTGAGCGTATAGCCCTGCATTGGGACAGGGATGTCTAAAGATAAACGCAAGTTGTAAGATTGCTGCAGGCAAGTGAGGGTGGCTAAAAGTAGAGAGTTGTATGATTGTTTGTCCAATAGAGAAGACTGCTGAGGCTGAGTGGGGTCCGTCCATCCATCCATCCATCCATCCATCCATCCATCTTCTTCCACTAATCCGGAGTCAGGTCGCGGGGGCAGCAGCCTAAGTTGAGAGTCCCAGACTTTCCTCTCCCCAGCCACTTGGGCCAACTCCTCCGGAGGAATCCCAAGGCGTTCCCTGGCCAGGTGAGAGACATAGTCCCTCCAACGTGTCCTGGGTCTACCTTTAGGTCTCCTCCCGGTTGGACGTGCCCAGAAAACCTCACCAGGGAGGCAACCAGGAGACATCCCGACCAGATGCCCGAGCCACCTAAACTGGCTTCTCTCAATGAGGAGGAGCAGCAGATCTACTCCGAACCCCTCCTGGATGAATGAGCTTCTCACCCTATCTCTAAGGGAGAGCTCAGACACTCTGCGGAGAAAACTAATTTTGGCCGCTTGTATCCACGATCTCGTTCTTTCGGTCACTACCCAAAGCTCATGACCATAGTTGAGAGTAGGAACGTACATCGACCGGTAAATCGAGAGCTTTGCCTTCTGGCTCAGCTCTCTCTTCACCACGACAGACCGGTACAACGCCTGCATCACTGCAGACGCAGCACCAATCCGCCTATCGATCTCGCGCTCCAGCTGGAGCTGAGTGGGGTGTTTAAGACTAATGGCAAAAAATCCTACATTTGGAAAAACTTATTCTGACATAAAACACTCCAAATCTAATAAGATCATAAAGTAGGACTTTTTGTATAGTAAAGTGATGATGTGTAGTTTCCCTGGTGATAGTGGGCAGTACATCCCTAAATCATTGCAAGCAAGCTGTATGTTGTGTTTGAGTAAGACCTTACCTACGGATGGTCATTAGGGTCAAAAGTTCTTGGGAGCGCAACCTCTAGCAAAATGACAAGCACATCAGACTCCCTTTCATCACTTGCAACGAGTGAAGAGGTAAATAAGTAAAACAACATTTATGAACGGCAAACATTTTGGAACTGCTTGTTACACATTTTGTCCTCAGTGGCTCCATAGAAGGAAACATGGCATTTAATATGACATCGCCCAGAGACTTGGATCCGCAAGTAACAGATCTTTGGGCGAAGTTGAACACAAATATTGTGGGACTGAGTTGGAGAGGCAGAAACAGACCGCAGGAGTGGGTGATAATGTTGAAAGGAAGCTAGAATTGGCGTGAGTGGAAAATAATCATTTTCTATGTAGAACATTATCACCCACATTTCAGAAGTGTGTGATAATGTTTTTGCCCGTCTCTGTGCTAACCCAATGTAAGATGACTGCCATAACTAATCAGCATTAGCGACACAAAAATTTTAGATGCTGTTGTAAAATTTGGTGTGATTTGGTCACAGTTGTCGAGCTATTGATGATGAATGGGGGAATACAGGGGTAAATGGATGGTATATTTATATGTCCAATGTGTGTCAACAGAGAATTTCCCACAAATTCGGTGAGTTTGTCAAACGTGTTTGAGGCAAAATCAATGAGAGGATGCTAACATTGATTCTAGTTATTGATTATTGATCATCATAGCTGCAGATCCCATCCTCCAGCGGTCCGGAGGAGGTCTGTCCACATCTGTCTGCACTGTTTCAATGAAGTACGACTTCTTTAAATGTGCATCTACTCCTGACTGACCTTTGGTCAAACCAATTCAAGGTGGTCAAATTACTCAAAACTCCAAATATTATATTACAGATACATTTATTTGGATATTTCAGTGTTTTCTTGACATATTAAAACACGAACCATATATATCGTATTTTCCGGACTATACGTCACACTTTTTTTCGTAGTCTGGCTGGTCCTGCAACTTATTCAATTCAATTCAATTCAAATTCAAAAATACTTTATTAATCCCAGAGGGAAATTGATTGCTGTAGTAGCTCAGAATAATAATAATCAAGTCATCAAAGAGTTGTTGTATATTACAATGGCTCTTGGCAGGAAGGATCTCCAGTAGCAGTCAGTGTTGCAGCGAAACTGAAGAAGCCTCTGACTGAAGACACTCTTCCGTTGTCGGACAGTCTTGTGAAGAGAATGCTCAGGGTTGTCCATAATTTTCTTGATTCTCCGGAGAATCCTTCTTTGCATCATCTCCTCCAGTGGTTCCGAAACTGCCGAAACTCTTATATACCAAATTATGTACCAACTTATATACCAAATTATGTATACCCTGCTGCTGCCGGCTGGCTCCGGCCCAGGAATGAGCTCCCCTGTCCCGCTGGGAGGGTTTCAAACACCGCCATCCTCTGCTGGAGACCGTGGCGCGCTGCTGTGCCCGCGTTTTTAATTCCGTTATTGTCTTGCAATGTGAAACGCTTGATCTCCGATTTTGTAAGAAAAATAATAAAAATTTTCCCCCCAAAATGCGACTTATATATGTTTTTTTCTTCTTCATTATACGTTTTATGGCTGGTGCGACTTATACTTCGGAAAATACGGTACTTCACATGTTTAAACCCAGGACCCAAAATGTAACAAATTAGCTCTTTTGAATGTTTAACTAAGGATGCAAACATATCTCTTAAATTTTTGC